CCCTTCACAAATCACTGCCTTTTTATGCTTCAGCCTAAAGGAAATAATTTCTTCTGAGAACTGCAAAAAAGATGCAGTTTACCAGATACGGTAACTGCTCTGCTTTTAAAGAGCAGAACAGTGACGCTATGGAGAAAAATGCTTGCGAGCTTAAAATGGCTTAAACTATAAACATATTTTTCTTAGGTTTTATGACGTTATTTTACAGCTGTTGAAGGTCCTCTCTTGGTATGTTGCTATTGCAATATTAAAGGCTGTAAAGTTGTCAAAGAAAAGCCAATGGAGACCTAGTTTTTGTAGCGTCTGTGGAACTTGATACCAAATTTGAAACCATAATACTTGAGCTGCTGAAATTCTTCTACAGAAAACAGCAGGAACAGCACTCCAGGTAATGTGCTAGATCAACAAACCTGAAGTCAGTCATAGGACAGTACTAAAATAAACATGATTCCCCATTTCCAGTTTTTGTACTGATTGTTAATGACAAAGCCCAGTCGATGTTTAATACCTGAATTTGCAACAGGAACCAGCGAGGTAAATTTTTTCCAGTATTTCTCCACTATCAGCAGAGAGACGTAGAAGCCAGTTCCGCACTGTCAAGACTATGAGGGAAGATTTATAGTCTGATGGATTTGGTAGCATTTCCCCCTACATAACAAAAGACTATCAGAAAAGAAGTCTGTACCAGGAGAATACATAACATTTTGACACAGTAACAAGAATACCAATAGTAATACTCTTTCTTCAAAAATTAAAGGTGGAAAGCAGCCTGATATTCACATCAGGATCTCTAAGATCATGTCTGTGCCAAATAGTCACACGATTATCACATAAATAATCTGTTGTCACACTTTTTGCTAGGCAGTTACCTTTCTTTTCAAGAAAAAGCCACCTTTTAAAACTTCCTTGCCTTGCAAAAATGAAGTATAACTTCTTATTGATCTAAAGTATTTCAGTCTTGAAGTGACAATTGTTGAAGTATTGCAAAATAAGACATTCAGAGACAACTCAACAGCAACTGCCAAGAATGGTATTCATAATGCTTTATTTTTAGGCACCTCAAGGATGGAGCTAATATTCTTAAACTCTGTGGACACTGGATGAGAGAAAAACTCATCAAGGAGGAGGGAAATTATATAGTCTATTCACTAGAAACAACAGAACAGGTTTTTGGGCAGAGTTGGCAGGGTATTCACTTCACCTGCTTGCTTTTTTTTAATGTCAACAGAGCTGGTAAAAACTAAAACTCCAAATTACTGCCCTCACTAATTAAAAAATTAAACAGAATTTTTGTTGTAAGGAATCAGATTTAGTTGCATAAGCATAAATGCACTGTTTTTAAAATCTTCCACAAAAGCTCACCAAAAAATCTGACTGCAGTGTTGAGAAAGTCAGAGAAGTATACCTCTAAACACTCTGTGAAAATAAATAAGCACAAATTGAAAGTCTTAAATGACTAAACGCCACAAAAACATTGATAAAACAGTTTGCAGGGAAAGAACACACCATTCTAAATATGTTTCATTGAAAGACATTAATTTGTTGAGGTTTTTTTTCCATAACAATGTTCTAGAAAAAGCAGTCTTACCAGTGGGCATTCCAATAATAAAGCATCTTCTATTTTTTCTGACTTAGAACACTTTGGCTTTTGGTAAAGTATTCTTGGCTCTTGTGCAATGCTGGAGAGAAATAATTGCTAATCATTAGTCTACTTTATGAACTACTTCCTATCAACAAGTCATTTCATACAGTTTCATAAATCCTGCCTTCTTTTCAGGCAGGTCAGAAATTTAAACATTCTATTTTCAATTTGTAAATATAACCTGAAATTACTCTCAAAATAATGCCTAATAAACAATGGTAAGTATAATATTTAAAAGCTAATATTCTCTAATTTTGTGTTTTGGTGTTATGTTTTGGTTTTTGTTTGTTTGTTTGTTTTTAAAATAACAAACCTAGTAGTAATATTCTTACTTTAGTAATACACATTAAAAAGAAAGCATATTCCAGAAACTAATGATCCTACTGGAATCTTCTCCTCAAGCTCTTCCAGTGTTGCCTTTCATAATATAAAGGCATGGCATCACATACAGATGTTTTTAAAAATAATCTGCTACCAGAATAAAAGCTTCATACTCTGCACAGGTTTCCCCTCAGGGAGGGAATGAGACAAACCTGAGAGATGTTAGGCAGTTTAACCCAGTACTGGAAAGCATTCAGTCAATGTAGGAATAAAACATGGCTAAATAGATTTAGATCTCTGCTGTTTACACTGACAGTGTAATTTTTTCTGTTACGATGTATGACACTGTCTAAAAAATGTTCTGACCACAACTTACTCAGCAACACAGTTCTCCAAGTCCCTGCTACTTCCCTCACAAGAGGGATGGGCAAGGACAAGGACCCGCGCAGGCAGGGCTTCCAGCCCTGCACCTGCCCAGCCACCGCCCAGGCTCAGCCTCCGCAGCCGGACACGGAACAGCCGAGAACCTCAGATCAGAGAACTGATCCACAAAACTCACTAACAAAACCCAGCAAGTACTCTTTTTTTTTTGCTCGTAAGTAAATTCCATTCAATTCACAGGGACTACGTGAATGAGTAAAGTTAGCTACACGTCTACAATGGGATCACAGTGCTAAAGCTGCAAGCCAAGTCAACTTTCAATTGTAAGTATTTTACCTGCTAATACAGCACTGGTAATTGTCTAAGTAAATTCTTCCTCTTTCATATGCAATAGGGGATGCAGAATGAGTTGTCCAAACATTCTTGAATTTAGTACTTTCCTGAAACATACAGTGGTTGTAACAGTGACAGCTTTGGTAACAAACCTTGCTTTTCGAAAATATTTGGCTCCTGCAGTTTAATGATACTTTAATTGAACCTTTGCACCTTTGCTGTTGAATACATATGGAAAATCTTATTTGTTTTTTTATTAAGCCAAAGTCAAAGATCTTCTTTAGGGAAATTTTCTCTTTTTTAAAAACCAAATTAAAATATCTTTATTAGTTATTATGGGCAGCATGGGTAATGAATATTTTGTCATTAACTTGCCTGCATTAAAATTAAAACTGGCAACTAAGGTTTAATGGCACGTTTTAAAATCAAGGACAGAACTCTACAGAGTGTAAATATGCACTCAACTTATATGTAATTAATTGAATTTACTGAACATCTGACTCCATTCTACTGTTGGTGTTTTGTGTGACAGGTAGAAAAATGTGTTTGCAGCTATTTGTAAAAAGTGTCTGAAATGTTAATAGGATAAACGGCTCACATAAAGTTTCTTGCATGCATTAGAGACATCAGGAGCTCTATAGTATTAACAAAGGTTCCAGTCTTACAAAAAAATTCCTATTTGTGTAAGTCCAATATACTAATTTTTATTTCAATAAACCTTACATGCCCATTGATCTAGTAGCATTAGTGGACACTCTCGTTGACTTCCAATACATGTCTTTTCAATAAAACACAATTACCAACTCCCACATACTCACTTTCACAGCCTCTCTATTATGTACTGCAAGGGAGCAGTAATCGTTTTGATAAAAAAAAGAAGTCAAGTTCACTTTAGTCTGTAATTGGGTTTAGTTTCTATTTTTTCTGTAACAGAAATGTCACTGACGCATTAGGGGTATGTTTGCCTGACGACTTCTGCTGATCATCTTACTTTGTTGTAAGAACTTCATTCAGATTTAACATCGATGCTCCCTAAAACACGATGAATTTAACACTGGTACCAAATATTAAGCCATCTTAGGGGAGGAATTAAGTGACACAAAATCCCCGAAAAGGCTATTTCTAATACAATTAATAAATTTACAAGTGCTTCTGCAGTGTATCCACAGCATAATTCTCTCTACATTTCTAGGTCTGAACCTCAGGAAATAAAGGGAACCGCCTCTAACGCTCTTCAGCAAAACTGCAGCTTTTCTTCTGCCCAGACTGTTTTCAGTCGTTCTGGCCAGGGGCTGCTCCAGCACCTGAGCCCGGGACTGACCCTCAGCCGCCCCCGCCGGAGAGCCGTTACCTGACACATTATCTTTCTGAGGAGTCCCAGGTTTTTTCTGTAGGCGACACCGGCATCCCTGGCGTAAAAGCCGTGGGCCCTGCGGGTGAGGAGGCCGCAGACATTGTGA